TCAAAAAAGTTTACATTTGCATAAGGGGGCCCTTATCAAAACTTTTAAATTTGATATAAGGGGGACCCTTATCAAAACATTTCAATTTGACATAAGGGGGGCCCTTATCAAACATTAATTTGACATAAGGGGGGACCCTTATCAAAACATTTACATTTGACATAAGGGGGGACCCTTATCAAAAAGTTACATTTTACTATATCATAAGGGGGGACCCTTATCAAAAATATCAAAAAAGTAACATTTGTACATAAGGGGGACCCTTATCAAAACATTTACAATTTGTTACTTTATAACTTATCAACTCATATAAGGGGGGACCCTTATCAAAAAAGTAACATTTGTACATAAGGGGGACCCTTATCAAAACTTTAAATTTGATATAAGGGGGGACCCTTATCAAAACATTTCAATTTTACATAAGGGGGGACCCTTATCAAAACATTTAAATTTGACATAAGGGGGACCCTTATCAAAACATTTACATTTGACATAAGGGGGGACCCTTATCAAAAAAGTTACATTTTATAACTTATCAACTCATATAAGGGGGGACCCTTATCAAAAAAGTAACATTTGTACATAAGGGGGACCCTTATCAAAACATTTACATTTGACATGGGAACCCTTATCAAAAAGTTACATTTTAATAAACTTATCAACTCATATAAGGGGGGACCCTTATCAAAAAGTACATTTGTACATAAGGGGGGACCCTTATCAAAACTTTAAATTTGATAAAGGGGGACCCTTATCAAAACATTTACATTTTGACATAAGGGGGGACCCTTATCAAAAATTTAATTTGACATAAGGGGGGACCCTTATCAAAACATTTACATTTGACATAAGGGGGGACCCTTATCAAAAAGTTAATTTGACATAAGGGGGGACCCTTATCAAAAATTTACATTTTAAAGGGGGGACCTTATCAAAAAAGTAACATTTGTACATAAGGGGGACCCTTATCAAAACATTTAAATTTGACATAAGGGGGGACCCTTATCAAAAAAGTTAAATTTTACTTAAGGGGGGACCCTTATCAAAACATTTCCATTTACATAAGGGGGGACCCTTATCAAAACATTTAAATTTGACATAAGGGGGGACCCTTATCAAAACATTTACATTTGACATAAGGGGGGACCCTTATCAAAAAAGTTAAATTTTACATAAGGGGGGACCCTTATCAAAAAAGTTACATTTTATAACTTATCAACTCATATAAGGGGGGACCCTTATCAAAACATTTACATTTGACATAAGGGGGGACCCTTATCAAAAAAGTTAAATTTTACATAAGGGGGGACCCTTATCAAAAAAGTTACATTTTATAACTTATCAACTCATATAAGGGGGGACCCTTATCAAAAAAAGTAACATTTGTACATAAGGGGGACCCTTATCAAAACATTTACATTTGACATAAGGGGGGGACCCTTATCAAAACATTTCAATTTGACATAAGGGGGGGACCCTTAATCAAGACATTTAAATATTGACATAATGGGGGACCCTTATCAAAACATTACATTTGACATAAGGGGGGACCCTTATCCAAAAAGTTAAATTTTACATAAGGGGGGGACCCTTATCAAAAAAGTTACATTTTATAACTTATCAACTCATATAAGGGGGGACCCTTATCAAAAAAGTAACATTTGTACATAAGGGGGACCCTTATCAAAACATTTACATTTGACATAAGGGGGGACCCTTATCAAAACATTTACATTTTACATAAGGGGGGACCCTTATCAAAACATTTACATTTGACATAAGGGGGGACCCTTATCAAAAAAGTTAAATTTTACTTAAGGGGGGACCCTTATCAAACATTTCCATTTTACATAAGGGGGGACTCTTATCAAAAAAGTTAAATTAGTATATAAGGGGGGACCCTTATCAAAACATTTACATTTGACATAAGGGGGGACCCTTATCAA